GACGGGGCTTCCCGGCGCTCGGCGGCCTCGCGGCCTCTTCCTCCTGGCTGCTCCAAGCACAAACTCCAGAGCCTCCAATGGGGACCGTGTGGCCGTTCTTCAGCGCGGGCGGGTTGAGCTTCTCCGTTTCTTCACCATCTGCAAGCGGGTGGGAAGGGAGAGCAGCAAAGAGAGAACAGTGAGAAGGCACAAGACAGGAGAGCGGGCCAAACCACCACCAATCCACACCTATTCCTTTCCAGCTTGTGAAACAACTGGTTTCACTCCTGCACAGCAACAGCAGCTCTAGCCTAAGCTGAGCACGTGGTTTCATCAGCAAGAAGCGGAGGAGGGCAGTGCTGCATCCCACCCGCGAGGTTCTTCCTGCAGTGGCCTATTAACCTACCAGCTGCATTTAAAAACTGCGAGACAAGGATGCCCGACACTGCTCCACAGCCTCCAAAAATGTGACCACAATTAGCAATAAATTACTCCAGCCACTTTCCTATCCACTCACTGTGGGAGCAAACACAAACTCTGCACCAAGAGGAAGAGGAATTTCCTCACTTCTCCTTGGTGTCCATCGGTGTAACCGCACATCTCCAGGATCTCAGCTCTTTCTGCTCGTGCAGATTCTAGTGCCAAGTTCCCCAGGCTTTAGGAGGACTCCCCTTCTCCCAGGGGCTCTTTTCAGTCCTGTACATCGTGCTTTTGAGAGCATTTAAGGCCCTAGTCACCAGGAGGAAAATCTCAGCCATTCTCTACCTCCTTAATTGCCTTGATGGCATCGTGGGTCTCCCAAACATCAGGCACTTGCATTGCTCTGGTTTTTGAGGATTTATTCTGCTGTCCCCCAAAGATCTTCCCTCTCCTTCCCCAACCTGGTGTTACTCAGAGGCCGAAAGCAGCGGTGCCTGTTGGAAGCTCCCTCTGCCTCCACCCTGCACAACCCGGGCAGCAGCCAAGGGAAGACGGGCGAGCGCTCCCACGCTGCTCCCGAAGGGCGGGATGCAAAGGCAGCACCGAGAGGGAATCTCCTGCCCAGCCGCGGCTGAAGCTCAGGAGAGGAGCAGGAGCTTTGAACAGCAGCAGCAGTTGCCTGTGGCTAGCGCAGGTCTGCAGCGCGGAGGGCACACGCAGCACCGCGGCTTGTCGCTGCCCCGTGAGAGCTCGCGTGCCCTTCTCCGTGGCACGATGCTCCTGACGGCCTTTCCCTGGGGCCACTTTGCTCCAGGCTTCAATCCCAGGGGCCTCCTGCAAGGTCAGGACATCCCGGCGTGTCCTTCCGCGCTGACACGTGCTCAGCACAACCTGCCACCCGCCCGGGCAGCAGCGCACGGACAAGCTCCTCTCCCAGCCTCGGAAGCCTCCGCTGCTCCTCTTTCCTTCCTCATCCTTCGCTTGTCTCAAAGGAATTCTGCCACTTCTTCCCCCCGCAAGAACTTGCCTAGGAAAATTACCTGGCCTTGGAAGTGCATGGATTAGAATTACCAGCAAATGCAATAACCTACCCCACCGTCTTGTGACCGCTCAAGTGTCTTAAAAATCACAGAAGCAAAGGATTAAGATAATGCGCTTTCTAATCTAACCCTCCTGACGATACCGACTGCTCCCCCGTACCGTGGGCTTGCACTTTGTCCACATTATAACCATCTTCTGTTTCCTAAGCCCGATCAGATGACTTTAAGCAGAAAATAATTCCACCTCCCAGCCACGCTCCTGTTACACCCCTGCAGCTTGGAGGACTCCTCTGTCATCCCTAGCTGGAAGTTTGGTGCACGGAGCCTTTGATCTTTCCCAGTTTCATCCTGTGACCTCATACTCTTTTCTACCACCGTGAATTCCTCCTTGGGCCCAGCATTTCTGCCCTGGGGGAATCGCAGGTGGCTTTCATCACAGCGGAGCTGCAAACAACCATGCGAGACCTCTCATCTGTTTTGCTTTCAGTGGTTTGATCCGAAAACCACTCTTTTCACCTCCACTTTTTCCTCTTCGTCTGCATTTTTCCTCCAAGGGGAAACCTGAATTTTGCCATTATGTTATGGTGCTCCAATATGTCACTGAAGCGATGTCTGCTCTCACACTGTCACACTTTCCAGCTCCCTCCTCGTACCAACGTCACCCAACACGCAGACAAATCAGGCCAGATGTCAACTGAAAACTTATTTTGACAAGACCCTTAAATTTCTCCCCAAAAAAGAACATTTGTAAGGCAAGAGGGAAGAGAGGGAGTGCATTAGAGGCAGATGGCTACACAACACAGAGGTGAAGAATAAGTTTATTAGCACTCACCCTGCTCAGGGTCTTCCAACAGGACCCCTCTTTTTACCAGCTCCTCTCTTGGCTTTCGCATAGAAATCTTTCGTTCTAAAACTGATATTAAATTGGGAAAAAAAAAAGGCAGTCAGAAAACAGGGCAAACCAGAGGTTTGAGAAGAACAGTTTCCCAAGGCATCAGCCCCCAGGGAAACGAGGGCTCCTCGTTCTTGTGTGCACTGGGGCCGCTCCGTGCCTGTCCTCGTTAGTCACCGGCTAATTGAGGATTTCCCCTGTGCAGGGAGGGGCTCCCGCCCGGCCCATGACTTTACCTTCCGAAGTCTCCTTAAATTTGTCGCTGCTTTTCTTTTTCCTCCACTTCCAAGGCTTGAAGATCTTTCCAAAGCTGGAGAACTTGCTCTTCCTCTTCGTGGGGGGCGTCGTGTCGCCCGATTCCAGGACGTCCACCCCCATGCCGGCGTCCGGCGGCGCGGGATCCGCGTCCTCCGCTGCGGAGAGGAGCAGACGCGGGTCAGCCCGTGCGCGGCTCCCGCGGCCCTTCCCGGTGCGGCGCGGAGCGGGACGGAGCAGAGCAGGACGGAGCGGGACGGAGCGGGACGGAGCGGCACGGAGCAGGACGGAGTGGGATGGAGCGGGACGCAGCGGGACGCAGCGGGACGCACGTTCATGCAGCCAGCGGCAGCCCGGGGACGCGGGAGCGCCGCTCGCGATGCCCACGGTGCAAAGGGGGACTGATGCAGGGGGGTTTGCTAAGGAAACACGGATCAGCGCGGATTGCCAGCGCGAGGGCTTCGCAAAGGGAAACAAACGACTTTGGGGCCGTTCCCCATCTTCATCTGGAAACAAATGCTCTAGAAACGAACGCCAACACCCTCCAGGCAGGTGGACGGCCGGTTTCCACGCACCGAAACGACCGGCCCCGGTACAACAGCTGTGTGTGCTAGGACTGAGCCTCGCCGATGTTTCCCTCGGTAAATAAGGCCAGCAATGCCGGCCAAGAGCAACAAGGACACAGGAAGGCAGCACAATACGGGCCGCGCTCCACCTACTGCCCTGGGAGCCTCC